GTGGGCCGAAGTGTTGGACGCACGTGATTCGGGCTCCAGCCATGGAACGCGGCTGGGCCGTACGTGCCCGAATCCCTTGGTCAAATAAAGCTTTTACCACTGCCCCCAGCTGTCCACACTACCGCCGTCCAACCACCAGCTGGGGCGGTGTTGCCGGCACGAGTATTGCATCTTGGGGCGTGGCCTGCCCTGCTGTTCTGTTACTTGCCTAGGAGATCGCGGATCTCGGCGAGGCGTCTCCACGGTCAGCCGTTCGGCGCAGTGACGGACGTGGTCTGGCTAATGGTCACGGTTGCGCCGAGCATCGCGTCTCGATACAAGCTGTTCATTGGGTGGCCTGGCAATTTCCCCGCATGGAGCATCACGTCTCCAAAGCGAATGACTGCTCCGTAGTCACACCTACGTCGTCAAGCATTATCGGCACCACAGCGCCGCACATCGAGACGCACCCCGCTCTCGATAGCTTTTCGCCACCTCCTGCCCTGCACCTCAGCGTTCGTCGTGCGTTTCACCGTATCATGAGGCTTTGAAACTTTCCACCTTGAACTCGTGTTTATTGGTTTCCTCGTTCGGTCAGACAGTTTGGTTGCTTATTTGCTTGAGCGCTTTTTCTGCCTATGTATTCTATGTTTATTTTCCATATTCTGTCACAGACGTCACATTTCTTTTACCATGCCGTCTCTCTCAGTACATTTCTTCTCGTACGGCACGCACAACAAGCGTTCACTAACTTTAGTCCCTTCATTAGTTACATTACAGCCTGTATTCAAGTTACACGCTTGCTGGTTCGTGTCCCTCACCGAGAACTTGGCAGGAGGTTTGGCATAGAACGCAGCAAGTGCGCATTTTGGAGGAAGGTCAGTCGGTGCCCCTGGACTCATAGAAGCCCCTACGGTAGTCGTCGCCCAAGGGCTCGTGCGCAGGTCGACGTGGCAGATAATTGACTCGGTGGCAGGCGCGAAATGAGTGGTGTTCGCACGTTCGGTCATGTCTGGAAAGGGGCATGAGCTTCTGCTGCAGGATACATCGAAGGTAAGGATAGTGGCAGCTGGCAGGACGCGCAGAGCACTGACGTAGATAGAAGGTTGCCTTCGAACATTGTAGACAGCGATGCTTTGCGATCGGCGGGCGCATAGCGGGCGTGACGATGTCTGGGGTTGTGTCAGATGGGTCGTGGACTGTGTAAGTCGGAGAAGACGAGAGGGTGGCGAGCAGGCGTGAACTACCATCGGCCGAGGAATTCGAAAAAATGCACTTCATGGCGGACTGGTGGCAGCAGGCACCTCGTCGGGACTGTCACCGAGCGCGACAATCTCCGAGCTGGTGGCCACGCGAGAGGGGGAAGGGGACGTTGCCGGGATTGTTAGGTCATGGTCAGTAGAGAGCAGCGGGCTGGAGGGTACCACGTGCTGTGCGCAGACGAAATCTGGAAGTTGCGGGTCCCGGAAGCGGGCGGTAGGTGAGGCCGTAACAGGTAAGCACTGCAGATCAGAGGTCATCGTACAGCTGCAAGCTGGAGATTGAAGTGGCAGCGAGATGACACAGCTCTACCGGAAGGGCATCAAGAAGAATGGGGTGCATCAGCGGCTGGTCCACGACGCCATTCACCGCAAGAATGACTTCGAGCTGCATAAACCATACTTTGGGGCAGTAGACTGGATGGGCGGCACTGGTGGGCAGAACCGTGGATATATGGCAGCCGATGGCTTGTCCAAGGGCGCGTTCTCCGGGTCACCGCTGTAGCGGGCGAGAGAAGGAGAGAGACGTGAGAAGGCGTCGTGTAGGTGGCCGACGGGGCCGTGCGAAATCTCGCCACTTATTCCTCTCGGGTCAAAGCTCAGTGGTGGTGGCTGCCAGCGTCCGACATGCCAGGCGCATGAACTCGTTCTGTTCTGACTACCACGTGGCTCGCGCATCACGAGCCACGCGGCGCTCTTCTTCTTTTGCACGGCTGCTGGCAAAAACTGACGTGACAGTGCGACGCTAGACACTATTTTCTGTAACCTTCCAGTGACCGAAGATCTTTTGACACAGTAAATCAACTCAAAACATCAGTACAACAGATCTCACGCATGATCTCGCGAATAACAAACAATCGTGAAGGCATGAAAGAACAAGATACACTAAAATTGGTCAAAAGCCTCGTCATCAGTTGCAGTACATACTAGCTTCGTGATCAAATTATGAACAGGGAAGAGAAATAAAAAGCAAACCAAATAATAAGAATGTTCTACAAGGCAACCCTAAGATTACCGCAGAATACTTCAAACGACAAACTACTGGTGCTTGGTCTTCATAACACAATTGAAGAATTATCTGAGGCCCTGCCACTAGCGCAAGAAAGTTGCCTTCTCCAGACCTCAACGGGCAGAGCAGTCCTAACAAAACTAGGGCGTGATTTTTTATTACAAAAACACAAAGAAACTAAAAAAAGTACCAAGTGAACTTAGAGAATTGTACACCGTTTTGCCAATACCAAGCAACATGGATCCTACCTACTATGCATGCTGGAAGAAGAAAGGCAAAGACAGACTACATTGACAAAATGACAAGATTTTTGAACACGGCCAGATTCACTGACGCCACACCTTTTCAGACCAATGCAAAGAGATCTGTGTGTAGTCCCCGACCGTAGAGGAAAAATTACAGCCTGCGCTTTAATAGATCAGGCGTCGACAACACAAGCAGAAGAGGTTGCCATAGCACTCGCAATAAAAAAGGGATGGACGCGAAACGCTCCCTTAACAATCATTACGGAATCGCAAAAAGCTTGGAGAAAATATCTAAAGGGCAAAATTGGAGCTCAGACGCTCCGTATATTGGTTGGGACAGGACGGGATCCCACAGTAAAATACGTACAGGCTGTGGCTTGGGCACTGGGGCACGAGGGCGTGACAAGGAACCTGCACGCGGACGAAGCGGCTCGAGGCTTCACAAATCACTGAGCCACTGAAGACAATGCAATTGATGGCCCTACACCCCTGGACTCTTGTTTCACAACGATTCTAAAGTACTACAGGGAAAATAGGCAGCTGTATCCACGTCCTCATAGCAAGCTCAGCGCTGCGGAGGCAACAGCGTCAAGAAGAATACAGACTAGCACTTACATAAAACTGCACACTCTTCACCTGATCTACGCCTCGCCGTACAGAGATATATTCCCGTGGTGTGGAGCCACCCCGACACTCTTTCACATCACGTGGGAGTGTGCGGAGCACGACGAAGAACACGACTGCAATGGCTCATGAGAGGAATGGGAGGCGCTGCTGTCTAGACCAACCCTGTTCCACCAGGTGGCGACATTCGCCCGAGCCTCAGCCTCACTCATAGCCTATATGAGTATTAACGAAATTCACCGCCACGTGCGACTGATCCACAAAGCTGAACGGATGGCTCGCGCCACTGGGGCCCTGGAATAGGGGCACCAACCGGCCGGACAGACTTCGCTATTCACCCTGTATATTCTTCGGGACACTGGAGTTCTAGCCTGTCTAGATTATGTACATAATGAAGTTCTCTATCTACTACTACTACTACTACTACTACTACTTGACTAGGAAGACAGAATAAGAAATTGTTAGCGGTTCATACATCTACCAAATCTATTCGGGTCGCATATAAACTTTCAGGCAGCTTTGAAAATATTCCTGTCTGAGTGTCCCCGCGTAGAGGCCCCAAATGTTGACAGAATGGCCAACGTAACCGACAGACCACGGTGTCGCATATAATTTCGATACTTCGTTTTCTGTCTAAGGAAAAATGTACCTTGGTAGCTCAGCAAATAGTGTTCGATTGTTTCGTGTTCTTCGCAATAGGAGAAAAAGGGGGAGATCGACAAACCCACTCTGTGCATGTAAAAACAAAAAATTGGAATTTTACACTGCATTCTGGTTATTATAACTTCTGTCCATTTGCTGGACACACTTTTCTGTTGTAAGGGAACTTTAGGTGCAGAAAGTCTAGTGAGAACTCGAGACTTGAAGTAAGCATAGATAATGCATACTTTCTGAACCTTGCTGCAGCAACAACAGCCGTAACAGAAAGGAGAGAGTGAGGACTGAACCTGTCAGAGAAGCTTTTGTGAAAGAGTCCGCAGCTTCATTCAGTACAACATGTCGTCTGCTTCGATCAAATGACTCGTTCCACGGGACGGCAGGAGCGTGCAAATATGTTTCAACTAAGTCGATTCGAAGTTTTCAATATATCTTTCGGAAAGCCTCGAGCCCCATCCGCCTTTTATCACCGGCATAAAGTTCTATGTACTCATAGTCAGCATTACTATTAGTGTTATATCGGCTTACACTTATACTCAAAACGATCAACAAATTTCTCACCAGACTGGCGTTTATGCGCCACCTTAACATTTATCTCGGAGGGGTGAGTTAGGAAGGGCATGTGGGCTTGACCTGTCCCCGCAAGCTGTTTCAATGAACGTTCATTTTACAAATATATTTTACCAGTAACGCGTTTCATAAAAGTGTTGTCATCGGATTGCAACATCTGATAACTCGTACTCGACGGCACATGCATGATCAAAAGTAGTTTCGCGTAGCACCGATTATCTGAGGTACTAGCGTTAAAAAGCATTTACTCTATGGTTTTAAAAGCTATATTGACGTTAACAAACTCGTGAGTCGACTGAATCAGGCTCACTCAGGCTCAAGTGGAGCCGTGAGAGTGAGTCTGAGCAAGTCCGGCCGAGTGATATGTTGGTGAGTTTGAGTCTGAGAGTCCAGTTCAGAATGAGCCCACAGACCAAAATATATTTCATGAGTGAGGTCGATTTTTTTTGCCAGCCTATGCAGTTATGACTACGAAGAGATAGATTTAGAACTGCGATTGCATGCACCACTGCCGAAGATGAGCAGCTTGCTCTTAATCGTACTCCTCGTCTCCTTGACCACGTAAACGAAGCACCCCCTGTCATTTGCCAGTGTAACATTGCAGTATTGCTTGTCGCGAATGTGTTCATACTGCCCTAAACGTTTTCGCACTTTCAGCACCCGGTGGATCATCGAGTCCGGGCTTCCCGAGCGGCACCGGCTCAGCATCATCCAGCGAGCCCAGCAGAAGAGCGAGACCGGGGTGCAGAGGACGCAGTCCTTCACCTTCCACACCATCCGCGTGGAGGACGTGAGCGGCCTGTTCTTCCTCATGGTCGGCTGCTTCTCCATCTGCCTTCCAGCGGCACTTCTCGAGCACGTGGCATTCGCCCTCGGCAGATGTCGCTGTTGTCGCAAATAACGACGCTCGTGACCAGCGTTCGGTGACCTCGATCTAAAGAGTAGTGACACTCTTCCCCTCAATTCACCTCAGATTTCTCCCCTCTCCTAGCCGCCTCGATGCACATGACACGTCGAACCCTCTAATGGCTCGCTATAGCCAAATCCGGAATTATTGCGCGTGCATGTTTCATCAGCCCCTCCATGCGTAAAATGAGCACCTGTCCCTTAAAAAGCAGCCGAGGCGAAAGTAGGCTTCGTATAGAACATTGCGATAAACAGATTTTTATATACGCTTCGATAAGTACAAGTGGAAGCGCCTAAAAAAACTGGACCTATTTAGAGGCTGAGTGGTCTACCTCTCCGTTGCCGCTTCGACCATCTGTAACACACGCACCCGCCGCGATGGTCTATGGTGCACGCCTGATGCTGGCTGCGGTCGCCACATTTTCGATGAAGGCGAAAATCCTCGGGGTCCTTACATTTGGGAGCATCTGAAAGAGCCCGAATGGTCAAAACTTTCGGAGCCTCCTCTACGCTGTCTCTGATAATGACATCATGGTTCTAGAACGTCAGCCCCCCCCCCCCCCCTCATTCAGCACGCGGTGGAGGCTGTGGTATCCCAAAGGATCTCTTCCGGCCACCTCTGAAATAGCACAACCAGTCTCTGTACTGGTCCCTTCCATTTTTTTTGCTGGAAGAAATAAAGGTATTATTACCACCACCACAATTGTTATTATTTTTATTCCGCCAATGCGGTTATGTATAAGGCCATACATACATACATACATACATACATACATACATACATACATACATACATACATACATACATACATACATACATACATACATACATACATACATACATACATACATACATACATACATACATACATACATACATACATACATACATACATACATACATACATACATACTGCCGCCAGCACGTAGTGGGTTGACAGCAAGAGCGGCTCTAAATGTGGAGGAAAAAAGAAGATCGCGTTCTTCTTTGCTCGAGAGCCAGCCACGACTGACGCATCGTCCTAGTGCTAGCTACCTGGTGCTTTATTAAATCCCCCAGTACTTGTGACTCATCGTGACAACTGGTGGAGGTGCTGGGTAGTCTCACGGATGCTACAGACCCCCCCCCCAGGAAGCCGCGATACGAGTCCAGTGCCAGTCAATACTCCCGTGCATCGGACCAGCCGCCGAATCAGGGGATTGCCTCCGGAAGCCGACGATACTGCTCCCACCACGTCGACAAACATGACCAGCGCTTCGGTGCAAACCTCGGCGACCGGCACGGGAAGCACGACGTCGAACCGCTACACGTTGGAAAGCCCACGCGCACCGGCGACGTTCCATGGCTCGGAGCACGAAGACGTTGAGGACTGGTTGGCGGATTTCGAGCGCGTAGCCGCCTTGAATCAGTGGGACGACGCGGCGAAACTGGGTCGTGTCTACTTCTATCTCGAAGACGGGGCACGTACGTGGTATCAAAACCGAGAGGAACAGCTGACGACGTGGCCCGAATTCTCTCGTAGACTTCTGCAGACGTATGCCAGTGCTGATCGCCAAGAACGAGCTGAACGAGCTATTTTGGCCCGCGTCCAGCTGCCAAACGAAACTGTGACCACGTTCGTCGAAGACATGACGCGCCTCTTCCGACGGGCCGATTCAAGAATGACGGAGGACAAGAAGTTGCGTCACTTGATGCGCGGTGTCAAGGACCAGCTTTTTGCCGGCCTCGTGCGCAGCCCTCCGAAGACGGTCGCGGAGTTCTTGTCCGAGGCCGTGACAATGGAAAAAATGCTGCAGCAGCGATCCAACCAATACAACAGGCAAGTCAATGGCATGTCTACTGCCGACATTTTCACCGCCACTAGAACCAACAACGACTATCTACGTGAACTCATCCGTGGTATAATACGTGAAGAGTTACAAAAGGCTGGTGTAACACCTCATCCTACAGTAAACTCTATTACAACTGTGATCAAGGATGAGCTGCACCAGGCCCTCCGGGACACCTTGCCTCATGATACAGCTGTGCCAGCTCCTGCTGAATACCGCCGTGAGACAACCTACGCAGAAGCTTTGAAACGCCCTGCTGCATCGCCGCCATTATTCGTCCATCCTGTTCCTGCTGTTTCACTACAGTCAGCGCAGCACATGCCGTACTACGAAGGCACGTACACGCCACCACCGTTGGCCTTTGTCCCTGGTGCTTCTGTCGCCCATCGTTCAGTGCAACCAATTCAGTACATCGACGATCGGCGCACGTCTCCTCGAAAGTCTGATGTTTGGCGCACACCTGATCGCCGGCCTCTGTGCTTTCACTGTGGAGAAGCTGATCACTTGTACCGCCAGTGCCCATATCGCCGTCTTGGGCTTCGCGGCTTCTCTGCGTACTCACCGCCACCCCGTTACGGCCAGAGACCGCGCGACATCGAAAACTACCTCTCCCAGCAGCATGCACCACCATCTGCCGGGCGCCAGTCGCGCTCGCCATCACCGAGGCGATTTTCATCAACGCCCCAGCGGTATTCTACCACACGGTCTCCCAGCCCCCGTCGGGAAAACTAGACCAAGCGACCTCTGGGGGCGGGGTCGCTGAACGTCGAAGCGCTGAAGACCTCCCATTGACGCAGAACTGTACAGAAACCGGTCCGACATCACATACTGCTGCAAAGGATGGCCGACTTTCACTCGACATAGCAGTGACAATTGATGGTTGTGCAGTTAATGCGTTATTGGACACCGGCGCAGACTATTCCATACTGACCGGGAAACTGACAACGCAGCTGAAGAAAGTCATCACGCCGTGGCATAACTCGCAGATTCGGACAGCTGGTGGCCACGTCGTTACTCCACTGGGTGCCTGCACAACTAGAGTACAGATTCAAGGGTACACATTCGTAGCAAGCTGCCTTGTTCTACGCGAATGTTCCCGTGACGTCATTCTGGGAATTGACTTTCTACAAGAAAATGGAGCTATCATTGATCTGCAAGAGCGCCGCGTCACGTTCTCAGCCCAGCGAGCAATCAACGTGCAAGATGGTGGAAGGCGTGTCGACGTACTCCGTATTTCTGAACAGAGTGTGACGCTTCCTCCACGAACAAGTGTTCTAGTCGACGTAACATGCTGTGGTTTGGGCGATGGCGATGTGGTGGCTGAGACAAATTTAGAACACCTCCTGCAGCAAGGCATTTGTGTAGCTAGAAGTGTAGTACACCTTCGTGATGGTCGATCTGAATTGCTCGTAACCAACTTTAGCAACGAGCATCGACATCTTTTCCGTGGCACTTCGATAGCGTTTGCCCACGAAGTAGCAAACGTCACCAACTGTTTCACGTCCGAAATAGTGGATACCGCCGACACGTCAATGAGTAATATTGACATCAATCCTGATCTGCCCACCGTTAACCAGACTGCACTACGAGCGCTTTTGTTCGAGTTCAGGTCTTGTATCGCAACTTGCTCAAAGATCCGCCAGACGTCCATCACTCAACACAGGATCATCACGTACGAAGTCGCACGTCCGATACACCAGAACCCCTACCGCGTGTCGGCCAAAGAACGTGAAGCAATACGTACGCAAGTCACCGAGATGCTTGACGATGGCGTTATTGAACCATCGAACAGCCCGTGGTCATCTCCAGTCGTACTTGTCAAAAAGAAGGACGGGTCGCTACGCTTCTGCGTCGACTACCGAAAGCTTAACAACGTGACGAAAAAGGATGTGTATCCGCTGCCACGTATCGACGATTCGCTGGATAGACTTCGTCGTGCCCATTATTTCACTTCTCTCGATCTCAAAAGCGGGTATTGGCAAATCGAAGTAGATCAGCGAGACCGTGAGAAAACAGCCTTTGTGACTCCAGACGGCCTATACCAATTTCGAGTGCTCCCTTTTGGCTTGTGTTCAGCACCGGCAACTTTCCAGCGAATGATGGACACTGTCCTCACAGGGCTCAAGTGGCAGACTTGTCTTGTCTACCTTGATGATGTGGTGGTCTTCTCTACCACGTTTGAGCAGCACCTTCACCGCCTGCGCAGCGTGCTGGAGGCTATCCGATCGGCGGACCTCACACTAAAGCCACAGAAGTGCCACTTCGGCTATAAAGAACTAAAATTTCTTGGACATGTAGTTAGCGCCGAAGGAATCCGCCCCGATCCGGACAAGCTTGCCGCTGTTGCCGAATTACCAGCTCCTGTCGATAAGAAAGCCGTCCGGCGCTTCCTTGGTTTGTGCGCCTACTATCGCCGATTCATTCATGGCTTTTCACAGATAGCAGAACCTCTGACTCGTCTCACAAGGGACGACACGTCGTTTGTCTGGGAAAACGAGCAACAAGCAGCTTTTGATGAGCTGCAACAGCGCATGCAATCAGCGCCCGTTCTCGCTCATTTCGACGATGATGCTGACACGGAGGTCCATACCGACGCTAGTAACATTGGGCTCGGTGCAGTGCTCGTTCAGCGTCAAGAGGACATCGAAAGAGTGATAGCCTACGCCAGCCGCTCTCTATCCCGTGCCGAGGCGAATTATTCCACTACGGAGAAAGAGTGCCTCGCAGTCGTGTGGGCAATCACCAAGTTCCGCCCGTACCTTTATGGTCGTCCCTTCAAGATAGTGACGGACCATCACGCGCTCTGTTGGTTGGCAAGCCTGCGTGACCCTTCAGGTCGGCTAGCACGGTGGAGTTTGCGGCTGCAGGAATTTGATGTCACCATCGTCCATAAGTCCGGCCGTAAGCATGAGGACGCTGACACACTGTCACGCGCACCCCTTCATGTCGTCAGTCAGGAAGCAGAGGAAGACGAAGGCTTTCTCGGCGCTGTTAGTGCATCAGACTTGAGCAAACGACAGCGAGATGATGCAGAGATTCGTCCAATCATTGATCATTTAGAGGGCCAGGGCGCAATTATACCACGTCATTTATCCCGCTCGTTGACGTCGTTCTGCCTACAAGACGGTGTGCTGTACAAGAAGAACGCTCGTTCGAACAATCGTGCTTACCTCCTGGTGGTTCCTCGAGACATGCGAGACGACGTCCTCTTCGCTTGCCATGACGAACCCACATCCGGTCATCTGGGCTACTCAAGGACACTTGCCAGAGTGAGCGAGAGGTACTATTGGCCAGGACTTTCAGCAAGCGTAAAGAAGTACGTAAAGAGCTGTCGGGAATGTCAGCGCCGAAAGCAACCATCTGTTAAGCCAGCTGGTTTGCTTCAGCCCATTGAAGCACCCTGCACGCCGTTCGACCAAGTCGGCCTGGACATTCTCGGGCCATTTCCTATGTCTGCGGACAGCAACAAATGGGTGATCGTCGCGACCGACTATTTGACACGCTACGCTGAAACCCAGGCGATCCCACGAGCCACGGCTTCTGAGGTAGCACAATTTTTCATGCGCCACATCGTGTTACGACAAGGTGCTCCTTCCAGTGTAATAACGGACAGAGGGACGGCATTCACGGCGCAGCTTACGGACGAAGTTTTCAAACTGAGCAACACCAGACACCGAAGGACAACTGCGTACCACCCGCAAACCAACGGACTTACTGAACGACTGAACAAGACCCTCGCAGACATGATCTCAATGTACATCGACGTACAGCACAAAACATGGGACCGGATCTTGCCTTACGTGACCTTCGCGTATAATACCGCCGTGCAAGAGACCACGCGATTCACGCCATTTCGGCTTCTCTACGGCCGCGAAGTGCAGACCATGCTAGACTCAATGCTACCGTGTCAGGACGAAGACGAGTTGGCAACAGACGCCGAAGAATTCGCAGAGCGTGCCGAGGAAGCCCGGCAGCTCGCGCGACTGCACATCGGCCAGCAACAGCAGGCAGACGCACGACGCTATAATACCCGCCACAGAGAAGTGTTTTACAACCCCGGAGATCAAGTTTGGGTGTGGACGCCCGTCCGCCGCCGTGGCCTTAGTGAAAAGTTGCTGAGCCGGTACTTTGGCCCATATAAAGTGTTACGCCGCGTCAGTGACGTGAACTACGAAGTGGTTCCGGACTCAACACCCCATGCACGGAGCAGGACACGGCTGAGGCCGGACGTCGTTCATGTGTTGCGCATGAAGCCATTTATTGCGCGTTGTTCCTAACTTTTCCTTTACCGTACAGCGTTCTTTGTGTTTTTAGTTTATTTTGTGAACTTACTTTCTCGTTCATTGACGTTTCCTATGTTGGCACGCTCTTCAATTTTTACTTTCACTTCATCCGAATTTCCATTTTTTTCACGTGCCTATGTAGTAGCATCGCGGTGCTCCTATGTACTTCCCTTTCCTCTTTTTGGTACTTGTTTTTTTTCTTTTCGGAAGGGGGGATAATGCCGCCAGCACGTAGTGGGTTGACAGCAAGAGCGGCTCTAAATCTGGAGGAAAAAAGAAGATCGCGTTCTTCTTTGCTCGAGAGCCAGCCACGACTGACGCATCGTCCTAGTGCTAGCTACCTGGTGCTTTATTAAATCCCCCAGTACTTGTGACTCATCGTGACAATACATACATACATACATACATACATACATACATACATACATACATACATACATACATACATACATACATACATACATACATACATACATACATACATACATACATACATACATACATACATACATACATACATACATACATACATACATACATACATACATACATACATACATACATACATACATACATACATACATACATACATACATACATACATACATACATACATACATACATACATACATACTACATACATACACCTAGGCATAAGGGCCAAACCTCATAAGCACGAAAATGCACGCGACAGCGACGAGCGACGCTATGAGCGACAAAACAGCGCGTTTGCGCGACGTGTCGCGTGCTCGTTTTCGCGCAATCGCTCGGTTCTCCAGATTTGGAAACCGTCGCTCATCGCCCGGAAGTGCTGGGCTCAAGCAGCCAATAGAAAAAAACCGGAAAAGGATATACATCAGTGACGTACTGCCGGTTGTTTTCACGTGCTTTTCAGTGTTCTGTCTTAACTATCACAACAACATGGCCAAAGGCGATGAGCGCAACGCGTACAATGAGCGCCTCATTGATGTAATAGAAGGGGGCGTCCGCTATGGGATCTACGCGACTGAAATTACAAGTCCCGTGCCGTCACTGACGCGGCTTGGCGGCACGTTGCAACAGTGATGGGATCCACCGGTGAGTTGTGCTTTGCAATCTGCGTACAAGCGACGTTCACGCCAAAACTGCTGCATGGCCATTGTGTGCGGGCATGGTGTACAACTTTCCTTGATTTATATGCGCAGTTGCTGAAGTGAAGGCGAGGTGGAAGAACCTTCGAGACACCTTTAGGCGTGTCCTTAAGGAGTGGACACGTGCACTGAAGAGCGGGGCGCCTGCTGACGATGAATTAGACGAATCCACTAAATGGCATTTTTTTAGTAGGCTCCTGTTTCTTGAGGAGACAATGGAAGGGAGGCCGTAAGTTTGTAATCAACCTTTTTTACGCCAAACGTTCATGCAGATTAGTTTACTCTAAACAAAGGCGTGAATGAAGATAAATACAATATTTAGAGAAGTCGCAGCTCAAAAGCTGGTGTTGCATGTTGAAAATTGTGCTGAGAGGCATACTATGTATTACCTTATAGGACAAGTGGGAACGTGGAACCCCTGCCTTTCAGGGAGACTGCACCTAATGTGCTGGCACCAGAGTGCATTCTTGAAGACGTGTGTGATGAGAGAGAGCCTCCTGGAAATCAGGGGACTGCCACCATGCAAACAGCGAGGCGGGATGAGAGTTCGGGTTTACCACCACCACCAAAAAAAAATTGAAGCGTTCCAAATATGATGAGGAAATTCGAGGACTCTCAAACTTTATCACAGAAAAGCCCGATGAACATGAACGCTTCGGTGCATTTCTGGCTGAAAAGATGAGACGTGTGCCTCCGCACCTCGTAGATGTAATGCAATTACAGTTGCTGGAGACCGTCACCCAGTTTCTGAACTCAGTAACTGTAGTACAGCCAGTTGATTATGTTTTTTTTTCTGTTGATCACTTATATTGTAACGGTAGCATTTTTCTCAACTAAGGTGCACGAAAAAAATTGGAGCACAAAAGGAAGACACCTAGACAGTGTACAGACAGTGTGCTGTGTCTATTGATTGATTGATTTGTGGTGTTTAACGTCCCAAAACCACCATATGATTATGAGAGACGCCGTAGTGGAGGGCTCCGGAAATTTCGACCACCTGGGGTTCTTTAACGTGCACCCAAATCTGAGCACACGGGCCTACAACATTTCCGCCTCCATAGTGTGCTGTGTCTAGGTGTCTTCCTTTTGTGCTGCAATTTCATTCGTGCACCTCAGTCAAGAATTTTACCAACTCGCCCAGCAGTTCATGCTTGTCAAATAAATAATAGTAACATTTGGGGTTTAAAATCCCAAAACCACGATATGATTATAGAAGGACGCTGCAGCGGAGGGCTCTGAAAATTTCAACCGCCTGGTGTTCTTTCAAGTACACGAACATTGCACAGTATGCAAACCATTTTGAGAATGCAGCTACACAGGACACGAGAAGGAACGGATGAAAACACTCTCACGATGGTTTGTACGTCAAGTGTTCTCGTCTGTTGCTTCTCACGTGTCTTGTACAGCTCAGCTCTCACGATGGTTTGTACTTCAAGACATCAACTTGCTCAACAGTCAACTGTTGCAATGCTCATATATTGTGCTGTATACTACCTCACCTATATTCCTTAGTTTCATAGTCGGTCGGTTGTCATTAAGAGTACAGATTCATTTTTTCCCATTCTGTGATAACATCGGTGGCGTGGTAACATGTTGGCGCAATGTTCCATACTCTGTGTAATGCACCACGACATGTTCTACTGCTGCACAACGTGTCACTTATTACTAGTAATTGTATGAGTTCTTGCAGTCTTATTGTCAGCACTGTGATATTGCAGCTATTAGTGGTATGCATAATGTGTGCACCTTAACACATTTGCAAACTGACTGTTTGTTCCAAGGCATTCAGCAAGTGCCTGTAATTTTTCCATGCTGTTATGAGTCACTAATGTGTTCATTTGAAGAAACTTTTATGGATGTGGTACAACGTACGAGTTTAGACGTGTATACACATTTCTTACATGAGTTGTGAACTGAGCAATGTGTTTGTTGTATATGTGTGAATAGTCACTAATGTGTTTATTTGAAGAAATTTTTATGGATGAGGTATAACAGAGCGTAACAACACAGCACACACGAAAAGGAACGGACGAGAACACTCTCACAACGGTTTGTACATCAAGTGTTCGCGTCTGTTCCTTCTTGTGTGTCCTGTACAGTTCAGTTCTCACGACGGGTTGTACTTCAAGACACCATCTTGCTCAACAGTCAACTGTTGTGAAATTCACATATTGCTTTATATGTTATCTCAACTATATTCTTTAGTTTTATAGTCAGTCGGTTGTCAATAAGAGTACAAATTCAGTTTTCCCAATCTGTGATAACGTCGTTGGCGTGGTCATATGTTGCCTAATGTTTTATACGCCGTGTAATTCACCAGGACAGGTTCTACTGCTGCGCAATGTGTCACATATCACTAGTAATTGTATGAGTTTTTGTGGTCATATTATCAGCACTGTGATATTGCAGATACTAATGGCGTGCATAATATGTGCACCTTAACACATTTGCGAATTGATTTTGTTTGTTCAAGACATTCAACAAGTACCTGAATTTTTTTCCATGCTGTTATGAGTCACTAATGTGTTCATTTGAAGAAACTTTTATGGATGTGGTACAACGTACGAGTTTAGACGTGTATACACATTTCTTACATGAGTTGTGAACTGAGCAATGTGTTTGTTGTATATGTGTGAATATATTTCTATTTTACACTGCCAAAGTGCGAGTTGTCCATTGTGATAATAATTATTAGTCAATTTATATCCCTATTTTATTCTTATGCGCTGCTGTGCCATGTTGACCATACCACATTCACTAGTCTTTTTATTTTATTCCTATGTGCTGCTGTGCATTGTTAACCATACCGTATTTCCTTGTCATTGTTTTTCAAGGAAAAGTGCAATAAAGGTTTGTCCTGAAACTGTGTACTTTAAACCCACCTCAAAAAGCTTGCACGAGCTATGTGTGCCTACAGCTGTTTCCACTGTCACCACAGTCCAATGCAGAACACTAAATATATTTAAGAGGGGTTCTGAAGAAGGAGATCATCACTGCAGGGTGCAGGGCCTCTCTGCCAAAGCATCAAGAAGGGTAGCCCTAAAAAGGGCTGTTTAATTGTGTCGAATTTCTTGGCGGTCGGTGCACAGGCATGAGTTGTTAATTCAAGGGTGATGCGGGGCAACTCCGGGCAGCTTCCATTGCCAAGGCACTTGGCCTTCTTCACTGAAATACCTCACGAACTCTTGCCGAACTGCGCTGGCCACTTTAGAGCAGTTGCGGGTCTTTGGCTTTTCGAGTTTAAACACTGTTGTGCTTCCCGGTCCTTGTCTCCAAGCACCACCGCTCACATTTCCAAAGGTGTCTTGAAAATCCGCGTAGCCAGGAGGGCAGTACGTTGAAGAAGCGTTTGATGACAAGAAGTTGTGCAGCACGCATGTTGCTTTCACAACGGCCTCCACATTCTCCGGCTCCAAGTTTATTTGCCTCTCGTAGATCCGCCAGCGAGAGACAAGAATGCCGAAGGCGTTTTCTACACAGCGCCTGTAAAAAAAACGCTTTTCTGTTGCAGCGTACCCTAGAGCAGGAAACTTACAGTAATTGCAAGCAGTACTCATCTACCATAACCGGCCTATTCAAGGTGCAATGATACGTTATTAAAAAAATTATTAGCACATTTTTTTATATAAGAAAGTTTTTGCTTTGTTAAAGTACTAATCACTGATAAATAGGAAATCATCGCTTCAGACAAGCATGCGCTGAGGGTGGTGCTCTTCAGTACTTGCACTTCATAACTTAAGCAGAACTAAGGCTAGATTTCAGATTGATGCTGAACTGATTACAAAGAGTCTTCCTGGCTGCAGCAACCTTTGCACGAGGAAATGGCATATGAAACCACCATTTGTTTGCCACACGTTAGTTGATCTACCCTGAAGGCGTGAAAGTAAGAGGAAAGGACACAATTGAGCTTAGAGGACAGGACAGAGTTCTTTAGCGCTGGGTACAGACCTTGCACGACTAAGGCGGTAGTTGTAGATCACCTCCGCAGGTACACTCCGGCTCCCTTGTAGTGGCCTCATGAAGTCTGGGCGCAACTGGAAGGCCTCATCGCCAACAAACACATGATGACAAACTCTTCCTGACCTTGGGAGCATGGCTGCTCGAGGTAGGCTGAGCTCGCCCTCATGCAGTCGCTCGCCGATGGGAGAATCTTGCAAAATTCCCCCCTCGCTGAACCTTCCAGGTGCACCCACATTCACCAACCTGAACAGGTATTGGCTATCGACGACAGCCATCAATACAATGGAATGGGTTCTCTGAAAGCAATGAAACAACTGTCACAAAAGTACTTGCCATCATAACTACTTATATTGCATAACACTTAGCTGCATTACTGATAGGTACAGAAAAATAAGGTGAAAACTTTGGTCTGTAAACTGCCTAGCATGCATTAGGCACCAAATCACAATAATCTTGTACTGAGGTCTGGGATACTCCTATTGATAAAAGAGATGACCCTTTAGCAGCAAACATTCCACATGCATTGATGCAATTTTCTGCTGCATACCTTGTAATTGAAGTACAAACTCCCACCATTGCGGGGGCATTTAATTTGAATATGCTTGCCGTCGACCGCTCCAACGCAATTCGGGAACTGCCAACGGTTGCAGAACCCAGCAGCCATTTCCCGCCACTCTTCTTCTGTTGGTGTCTGAAAAAGCAACAATTTCAAGTTATACATTATGTTTGTTACAAACATAACCAGGTGAATGCACTCCTGTCTTTTTAACATTATGGGCCCACCCTTTCCTGTGCATGGGATAAGGTATTACCTCACTTAGTGGCACAAACTCCGTACCATGATATGCGCTTTAATTCACTCAACCATATCAAAGTTATGTCATTACACTTTGAATGAGACATAGCACCCAGATGCATACAGATGCTCGACGCTGTATGCATACCTTCATGTATTCAGAAGCGAAGACTTCCCAC